GAAGTTCCTGGAGAATGTTACGCTAATATTCTTAAGGATAACCCGGTCATGTAACGGAGTACAAAGTCAGACCCAGTTCCAAGAAGGAAGCTGGGGGTGGATGATTCATGTAATGGGAAGTTCCCAGAAGAATGCTATATGTAATTTTCTTAGGGATAACCCGATCATTATGAACAAAGTGATAAACACTAAACCCCACTGTGATTTGTACTCCCACTTCCACTACTTCCTTGGTCAAACCCATAAAAGTTAGGGCCACAACCAGATTCTCCTCTCGATTCCTTTCATGAACGAGAGGTCCACTTTCAATTGAGCAATCAAACCTATAAAAGCTAGGATTGTTCCCAATCTTACTTAGTCAAGCCTACAAATAGTTAGGACCAGACCGAGTCATTCCTTTTCGATAAACGAAAGTCTGTCTTTGTTCCTTTTTCCACCAAACCTATCAAAGTTAGGGTCGAAATTGAGCTTTCTCCTCAATAAATGAGGGATTCTTTTTGGATCAAATGGCCAATCCTATAAAAGTTAGGGTCGTTTGAATCTTTCCGATTCTCGGAGTGGAGATCCCACTCTTAGTTTTATCTTTTCGGATTCTGGGGGTTTCCAAACTGTAGATAGAATATAAAATTCTTCCTCTTCAGTACTGGGAGATAGAATATAAAATTCTTCCTCTTCCATTTTCCAGTTCGTCTTTACCCTGAGAAAAGACACAATTCTCAACTTCAAATCCGTACATCCTATGCACGGGGAACTTTATCTCGACTCCTAAATAGAGATAAGCCTACGTCTAATACACGTCACCGGTTTAGTCATTCACCGATTGAAAAAGACACCAGAATCCAGTCTGGGGCATTTTATCCCGAAGCCTAAGTAGGGATAAGTCAGCGCTTGACCCGCGTTGCTGGGTGGTTCGTCCCCATAAAAAACGACCGAGTCTACGTATTCAGCATCGTAGCAACAAAAATCCATGCCTTTTATACATGGGGAATTTTATCCTGAATCCTGAGCAGGGATAAGTCAACGCCTAACACGCGTTGCCGGTTAGTCTTTTGCCATGAAAAGGACAAAAGCCCACATATTCGACATTGTGACAGGCCGTTATTAATAACGCCAAAATCCGTGCTTCACACGCGCGGGGAATTTTATCCCGAACCCTAAATAGGGATAAGTCAACGCCTAACACGCGTTACCGGTTTAGTCTTTCACCGATTGAAGAAGACACCAGAATTTCAATCTGGGGACTTTTATCCCGAAGCCTAAGTAGAGATATGTCAGCGTCTAACACACGTTGCCGGGTGGCCTATTCCCGTAACAATGGCGAAGTCTACGTATTCAATATCGTAGCATCAAGTCTAAGGGAGTTCATTCCTTTAGCACAACGTCACATGCGAAACTGACTTAAATAATCCGCATGCTAGCCCGACTCAAACGGTCGTCGGTAAAGGCTCGCCAAATCCGTTGAAGGGTTAGCCAAAAATCCTAAAGTCAACACCTAACACGTGTTGCCGGGTAGCTTATTCCCGTAACAATGGCGAAGTCTACGTATTCAATATCGTAGCATCAAGTCTAAGGGAGTTCATTCCTTTAGCACAACGTCACATGCGGAACGGACTTAAACAATCCGCATGCTAGCCCGACTCAAACGGTAGTCGGTAAAGGCTTATCAAACCCGTTGATGGCTGAGAATTTGCCAAAAATTCTATAAATGCGAGTCATTGACGTATCAGCTTCATTAGTTGGTCTCATGACTTGAACATCCAACAAACTTCAGGATAAGATCCACACGTGCAGATGAATCAGCTTTAATAGTTGGTCCTGCAGCCCAACATTCGGGACCGTCATGCTCCAATGCCTTAAGAGCTTAAACTGTGTAGACTCTAGCAAATGTACGAGTATAAACTGTGTTAACGCCGGTCAACGCGTTACAGTAAAGATCGATGCCGGTCAACGCATCAGCAATTTCGCTAAAATAAGGCAAAAGATGACTCCAAGGATTCCAGTTACAATCAGTTATGAATTCCCGACGGAGAAGATCAGTTCAAAGTCAACTCAATGGTACGAGCTAAGTTCAGAAAGTTACACACCAATCTCAGTTCAAGATTTCGACAGCGGTCAGACGATAAACGCAGCGCCGGAAGAACTTCACCTATTCGACGAAACAATGAATGGATTGAAGACTGAAGAAGTTAAGAATTGAGATAGTTCAAGGTCACTCTACGAAATTGAGGAGATGGCCTATCTTATCCAAAGCATTCCAGACTCCTCAATAAAAGAATGAGTCTGGAATACTTTGGAGGGGGTATCTATAGGCATCTAAAAATGCCTATAGGTGTCCGTACACAGCTTGAGACAGAGAGAAGACGACGAACATCGTTATCCGAGTCTAAGAGGATTATCTGACGCCGACAAGCGCCTGAAGCAAAACGGCGAATCAAGTGACCTGCGCGCTTGACAGTCAGCTCGCGCGCGCCAATCAGCTCGCATGCGTCAATCAACACGCACGCGTCAATCAACTCAAAGCATATAAATCAACGAAGCGAACCAAACACGCGAAAGGACAAGTCTCAAAGAAAGAGAACGGAAAAGAAGAAAAAATCAACAAACCTGCGCGAGCGCATGACAGAACAAACTGACCTGCGCGAGCGCGGGACGGAACAAACCGACCCGCGCGAGCGCGGGTCGGATTGGTCCGACCCGCGCAAGCGCGGGTCGGACTGATCCGACCCGCGCAAGCGCGGGTCAGACTTGTCCTGCGCGCGCTGTTTTGACCCGGTTCGGTTTTTGATGGTTTTTCTCAAGATTTGTTGGTTCCTGAGCATCTAAACTGACTTGATATCATCTACAAACGTGGTTAGGCTGTTATTGACTAAAGATAAGGCCAAATCACTTGTTCTCATCAAAATAACTGCTTCCGAAGCCCTATAAATACAAGCCTAGGGCCTCCTTTCAGCGAGGGGCGATTGATTATCAAGACGAAGGTGCTGCCGGATTGTGGAGTCAAAGGAGCACGAATTTCAGCGAGGGTTGACAGATCTTGGCGAGTTCTTCGGCATAAAGAAGGAGAGTTCGAGAGATCCGACGCCTGTTCCCGTCCGTCCCTTGAGATTAGGCTTGGTCTTAATCTCGAGAAGAGCCCTGATTTCGCTTGGTCGATCTCAGCGCTTCAAATCAAATACTTCCTCGGTGAAGACGAAGTTCTGCCGAATTTTTTATCAACCGGATCCAGATCTAAGGCGGTCCACGGATAAACCCCGGCACAGGCAAAGATCCCACGCAAAGCAGCGGGTGATAAACGTCCTCTGCGTTTGTTTTGACGAGAGTTGTAAACTTTTGTTTTCATTGTGTAAAAGTCTTATAAAAAGACAATCTTTTTTTGTTTTCATTGTAACGATTGAAGTTGTAATGAATACCGCAATGAATACATCAATTTTCGACGCAAACACTTAGTTTTGGGAAAACTTCGTCAAGGTGGAGAATTGTGAAAACGTCGAAGGAATTTGAGGAAAAAAATTGAGAAAAACGTGAAAAATAACTCAAAACAAACTCCACCACACCCTGGTGTGGTGTCTGCTACACCCAGGTGGCAGAATCTGCCCTGTTTATCATGGGTGTGATGTCTGCCACACCCTGATGTGGCAGAATCTGCCCTGTTTATCATGGGTGTGGTGTCTGCCACACCCTGGTATGGTAAAATCTGTCATGTTTATCATGGGTGTGGTGTGTGCCACACCAGGGTATGGCAGACTTATTTTTAGAATCCTAATCTGTTTGGGATTGTGTTTTGTTATAAATAGAACCACGTTTTTTAGGATTTCTTAAGGAGAGAATTAGCATTGTTTTGAGCACTTTAAGAGGAAGATATTGCGAGGGAGTTAAGAGCTTTGGTTAGGGTTATATTTGAGTGATTTTGTGAGTTGTAACCCGTTGTATATCTCCTCCATATAGTAAAATTTCCCCATCCTCTCCCCGTGGACGTTGGCAATTGCCGAACCACGTATATCTCTGTGTTTGTGGTTTGATTTCTCGTATTTGGTTACTAGATTCTGCAAGTGTGTGGTTCTCTTCTTCCCCGTGATCATAGATTCGTTCAGTGCGCGTGCAACGCTTCCGCATAGGCGCGCTACATATATACCAATTTCATTTGATGCTGTTGGAGTGTCAATGTTTTAATAGGTTTAATTGCAAGTTGACCTCATGTACTATAGCTCAATTGCGGATGGACACCCCCTCCCCCTAGTTATGTCATTGCATATTGGGCTGATAAATATAATATAGTGTCAGACTAGTGCATGTTACATATCTCAATTTAATTTCTAGTATAAAGATATTCCATGTGTATGTTACAACTGTTCATTCTTGTGGATGACATAAGGCTTCTTACATTTCAAGATGTGATAATTATCTGTATCTTTGTAAGAATTTTCATCTCTTGGACTAGTAGAAAAAGCATCCCAGACAAACATAGCAACTCTACAAGCTTGAGCCTTGGAAGTTTAAAAGTAAAGCCTTGTATACAATTAAACTTTGCTAAATCCTAAGGCTGCGTTTGGGAACTTTGATTTGGATTTGAGAACTTTGATTTAAAATCAAGGGATTTTAAATTTAGGATTTGAAATCCATGATTTAAGAAATCTTTTGTTTGGATATCTTTATTAAATGAAAGGATTTGAAATCTTTGATTTCAAAATCTAGTGTTTGGGTACTTTATTATACACGAATTTGAATTTAAAATTGATGAAAATTTATTCTCTTAACCCATCTTGTTTACATCAAATGCAATGGAGATGTGTAAAATAGTAACCAAAAAACACAAATTTAGGAAAGTTGATAGCTAAACTCATCTCTGATACTTTGCGAGGCCCCAGTAAACAGATAAAACACTTCATATAATAAGTATCTTTCAATTTTTTCGTTAATGTACTTGGACATCACTTTGATATACTCTCCACTAGTATCTTTCATAAAGACATCCAATAAAAGAGCAAATATACCAAACCACAAACCATCAAATGCCAATATATTGGAGTATACTATAAGCCACAATCATTCACCATAGAAGCAAACACCACAATTTTAAAACAGTCACAATTTTAACAGTCACAATTTTAACCCAAGGGCACATCTGCAAAAGTGTACACTGCAGGGGTTGCAATTTAAAAACGATACCACAGAGAGTATATGCAATTAACCCTTACATATTAGCTACAATCATTCGACAAAACAGCAAGCTATATCAAATGACAATGAGAACTGAAAAAGGTGAGACCAAAGCACAAGCACTCTCAGCACAATATCACGCTTGACCTGCGAAAAAAAACCCATAACATTGACATTAGAAAAGCCTGAGACTGCTTATGAGAAAAGCACACTGGATATGATCGTAAAAGGATTTGGACAAGAGAAACAATAGCACCTGGTGAGACAAAGCTACATAAGAAAAGGAGTAACTCGCATGAAAGCTATTGGAATAATATAGATTCACTTTAAGTAGAAAATGGAGAAGCTTCTGGATTTGAAGATTCAAAGTAGCAGGACCTGGGATGTGAATTCCAAAATGACACTAATGATTGCATAAATTCCAAAATTGGTTTTTTGATTTGCTGTTCATATCCATAGTAACACTCTGGGCTCTTGGAAAAGTTGAACATACAAGCAGATTACAGATATATCCTGAATATATATTTAGCAGGATGCAAATTTAATGAAGTCCTAAGAAAAAACAACTCAAGACATAGAAATAACACCCTACTTAGAAATAGCATCCATAAGATTGCATGACAATAAAAAATTGCTTTTTGCTGGAAACTGCTTTTTGCTGGAGCAGTTAGATAAATTTTAAAAAAAAGGAAAAACAGCTTTTGGTGTACATGGCATACTTGAAACTGCTTTTTGCTGGAGCAACCAAAGTCTTAGCTTTCCTTAGTACATCTATTGCTTGTGGTGCACATGGTATACTTGAACCTGCTTTTTGAAAGGGATTATTTAATCAACAGCGGATGAAATGGATGAAAGTAGATAGTTACCAAAGCTAAATCAAATTTCAATAGATTTCACCAGTTCCTCCCATATCTTCCATTATTATACGGCAACCAGAGTTCACCAAAGCAAGGGCATCAGAGTGGTCGATTTCATTCTGTGAAGCACATATATAGAAATGCAATATCGCAACTTTCATTCCAAGTATAATAGTGATATACACAATTAGCAAAATCAATGTTACAACAGAGACAACCATATAATAGTGAGTAGCACTCGTGAATGATATCATCAGGATATGATGTCGCATTTTTAAAAGGACACCAGCACAGTTAGCAAAATCATTGAGGTTGTTTTAGCTATGTTGCAAATCAATGTGATATACACTTCAAGCACCTTATGAGCAAGCATGTTATGAGCAAAATAATTTTATGTAAGAATTCTTTATTTAAAAGACAAGTGTCATTAGCAAAAGACTGTGAGTTGATGTGGATATAGCCATAACTCATAAGACATGGTGCAGTTGTAGAGCTTATAATTGCAGCATAATAATAGGATTATTGATCTCTCTTCTTTATTTAAAAGATTGAGAAAAGACCTTAATCCTTTGAGCTCTTTATTCATCTCAGCAAGGCGTGCAAAGAAAACCTGCGAAGAAAATGGCATCACAGATAATGCAAGCAAGATACGGATATAACATTACATTGCAAGTAGAATATAAGTCAAGAAGCGACAATAACAATATAATAGTGTCTTTTCTCTTGAAAATTTAAAAAATATATGTGTATAGAACAATATAATATCGTCTTTGCTCTAAAACAGTGAAGTTGTCAAATACAATGAAACTATATGATATTTGCAATATTAAAAAAGAAGATTTAATAAGATACCAGTCCGTAGACAGTAGCTTCAGTTCGAAGACTGGAACCTGACCAGAATATCTTCGGTCCTGTAAAACTTCCCTGCATAAGCATAAAAATGAAAACTACAAGTATAACCAACTGGAAATAATACAAATAACTATAGGAACCAAAAAAGCAGGTGCTTTCGAATCTGGAAATAAAGCTATAAGATATTAGCTAAATTACCTGTCAACACGCAGCCAGCTCTTAATAGAAAATTAAAATGCCACCATTTATGTAGGTTGAACAGTGAAATTCAACACGCAGCCAGCTCTTAATAGAAAATTAAAATGCCACCATTTATGTAGGTTGAACAGTGAAATTTGTTAGAATTGGGGGTGGAAACCAACCTCCGCCGGCGACGAGGAGCTCCGACGAGCTCAAGAACGACGCAGGCAAAGCTGCAGGCGAATTCGACGACAAACGTGACCCTCGGCTTCGACAAATGCGACCCTCGCGTTGGGCGACTGCGATGATCCGCCGATTTCAAGCCCCACCCCCACCATCGTCCGCTGCCACCGCTGGCGACAGGCTATCGCCCAGCCCATCAACTCCGCCTATATAAACCCCCTGGCCCTAGGGTTTGTTGCGGCCTTTCCCCCCCCCCCTCCGACGTTTTTCCCTCTGCCGGCGCGATCAGCCAAAACGCGCAGCAGCGTTCAGCCCTAAACGCAGCAGCGTTTTTCAACATCTCCAGCTCTCAACATAAGGTTTTAGGGAGATTAAGAACAGAGGTTAGAAAACGAATTAAGAGGAGAGATAAAGAGGGGTTTTATATTTGTGGGGTTTATTTAATCTCAAAGTGAGATTGAAAGGTGTTATTCCCTTTTTCTATTACACTGTAGCTACAGTGTTCATTTGAGAAATCTAGTTTAGGGCATTTGCTCTTGAAATTGTAATTTCTTGTTAGATTAAATAAGAAATTGACTGTGTGGCTCCCGAGGACGTAGGCAGTTGCCGAACCTCGTTAAAACTTGGTGTACTTTTTCTATTCTGCATTTCCGTTGCATTAGGGATTTCGGCGGTAAATTCCCAACAACTGGTATCAGAGCGTGAAACGATCTAGAGGAAGTTAGATTCAAGTGGGAGCCATGGCCGCAGATGAAGGGAAAATAAGACTTGAGAAATTTGATGGAACAAATTTCGGATTCTGGAAAATGCAGATAGAGGATTATCTGTATCAGAAAAATCTATATCAACCACTATCGGGAAAGAAGCCGGATTCCATGAAGGAAGAAGAGTAGAACCTTCTGGATAGACAAGCCCTCGGAGTTATCAGATTGACGTTGACTCGCAATGTTGCGTTCAACATAGCGAAGGAGAAGACCACGGCAGGTCTTATGGCAGCACTCTCAAACATGTATGAGAAGCAATCAGCCGCAAACAAAGTTTATTTGATGCGGCGGTTATTCAATCTGAAAATGGCGGAAGGCGCGTCAGTAGCACAACACCTCAATGAACTTAATACGGTTACAACCCAATTGAGTTCAGTTGAGATTGAGTTTGATGATGAAGTTCGGGCATTGATACTTTTGTCTTCCCTACCAGAGAGTTGGAACGCTACAGTCACAGCTGTGACTAGCTCATCGGGAAAGAAAAAGTTAAAGTTCGGCGACGTTCGTAATTTGGTTCTCAGCGAGGAGATCCGACGGAGAGAGACGGGTGAAGCTACAACCTCTTCAGTATTGCATACAGAGTCAAGAGGTAGAAATTCAACCAGAGGAAACAGACGAGGAAAATCAAACTTCAGAGGTAGATCAAAGGACAGGAGGTCCAAATCAAGGAATCCAAGCAACAGCTCGAAGGCTATCGAGTGTTGGAATTGTGGAAAGACCGGGCATTACAAGAATCAGTGCAAGAGTGCACAGAAAGAGAAGGAGGCAAAGGCAGAGGTGAATGTCACATCCACTTCAGGAGGAGACGACGCATTGATATGCTCTTTGGAGAGCAAGGAGGAATCTTGGGTGTTAGATTCAGGAGCGTCGTTCCATGCTACCTCTCAGAAAGAATTCTTCGAGAAGTATACCCCCGGAAATCTTGGATACGTATATCTTGGTGATGATCAACCATGTGCTATTGTGGGCAAAGGCGTGGTGAAAATTAAGTTGAACGTATCAGTATGGGAGCTGAAGGATGTCAGGTATATTCCCGACCTGAGAAAGAACTTAATATCCGTAGGCCAGTTGGCTGGCGAAGGATATACCACGACCTTCCATGGAGATGATTGGAAGATCTCAAAGGGCGCAATGACGATTGCCCGAGGCAGGAAGACTGGTACCCTGTATATGACAGCAGGTGCACGTTGTTTGATCTCAGTTGCAGCAGGCAATGAGACTTCAAAGCTGTGGCACCAGAGACTCGGTCATATGAGTGAGAAGGGGATGAAAATCATGCATACAAAGGGAAAACTCCCAGGACTGCAGTCAGTGGAGATGGATATGTGTGAAGAATGTATACTTGGAAAGCAGAAGAGAGTCAGCTTTCAGACAAGTGGCAGAACCCCCAGGAAGCAGAAGCTAGAGCTCGTTCACTCAGATGTTTGGGGACCAACCACCACTGCGTCGATTGGTGGGAAACACTACTTCGTGACTTTTATCGATGATCACACTCGGAAAGTGTGGGTTTACTTTCTGAAGCATAAGTCAGAAGTATTTGAGGCTTTCAGGAGATGGAAAGCTATGGTCGAGAATGAGACCGGTCTGAGAATAAAGAAGCTCAGGACCGACAATGGCGGTGAGTATGAAGACACCGGATTCAAGAAGTTCTGCTATGAGCACGGGATCAGAATGGAGAGAACCGTGCCCGGCACGCCTCAGCAAAATGGTGTAGCTGAGCGGATGAACCGAACGTTGACAGAGAGAGCCAGAAGCATTCGAGTACAATCAGGCCTACCGAAGCAGTTCTGGGCAGAAGCGGTCAACACAGCAGCTTACTTGATCAACCGAGGTCCATCGGTTCCATTGGAGCACAGAATACCAGAGGAGGTATGGTGCGGAAAGGAGGTAAAACTCTCACATCTTAAAGTTTTCGGTTGTGTAGCTTACGTGCATATTAGTGATCAAGGCAGGAATAAGCTTGATCCCAAGTCAAAGAAATGCACTTTCATCGGCTATGGTGAAGATGAGTTCGGCTACCGCATTTGGGACAACGAAAACAAGAAGGTGATCAGGAGCAGAGATGTGATATTCAACGAGAAGGTGATGTACAAGGACATGCACAAGACAGATGACTCAGAGAGCGAGTCAATATTTATAGATGAAGATGATGTCCCGAGCAACCTATCGAAAGAACCCAATGCAGAGGGTCCTCAGCAAGAAGAGCCTGTTGGACAAGATGGTGCGCAGGAGCCCGACGCACCAGCTCCGATATTAAGAAGATCTTCTCGTCCTCCTGTACCCAACAGGAGATACATGAACTATCTGTTGCTGACAGATGGTGGGGAGCCTGAAAGCTTTGATGAAGCTTGTCAGTGTGGAGATGCGAGCAAGTGGGAGCTTGCCATGAAAGATGAGATGAAGTCTCTCATATCAAACCAGACATGGGAACTAGCTGAGTTGCCCACGTGTAAGAAGGCACTCCACAACAAATGGGTGTACCGGGTGAAAGAGGAGCAGGATGGTTCCAGAAGATATAAAGCCCGGCTAGTTGTCAAAGGTTTCCAGCGAAAGGAAGGAATTGACTACACCGATATTTTTGCTCCCGTGGTAAAGCTAAATACTATCAGGACCGTGATGAGTATTGTAGCAATTGAAGATCTTCATCTCGAGCAGTTAGACGTGAAGACGGCGTTTCTTCATGGAGATCTAAAAGAGGAGATATACATGCACCAGCCAGAAGGTTTCTCAGAAGAAAAGAAGAAGAACCTGGTGTGCAGACTCAAGAAGAGCTTGTATGGCCTGAAACAAGCCCCAAGGCAGTGGTACAAGAAGTTTGACGGCTTCATGCATAAGGAAGGTTTCCAGAAGTGCAACGCCGACCACTATTGCTATTTCAAAAGATATCAGTCCAGCTATATCATCCTACTGCTGTATGTTGATGATATGTTGGTTGCAGGAGCAGATATGGAGGATATCAGGAGTTTGAAGAAGCAGCTGTCAAAGGAGTTTGACATGAAGGACTTGGGTCCAGCGAAGAAGATCCTTGGAATGCAAATCACGAGAGACAAGAAGAAAGGGTTCTTGCAGTTATCTCAGATGGAGTACATCAACCGTGTTTTGCAGAGATTTAACATGGGCGACGCCAAGCCTGTGAGCACATCCTTGGCCAGTCATTTTCGTCTATCGAAGGATCAGTCTCCTCAGACAGAAGAAGAGAAAGAGAGTATGGCTCAGGTTCCTTACGCCTCAGCTATCGGAAGTTTGATGTACGCCATGGTCTGTACGAGACCAGACATTGGCCATGCAGTGGGAGTGGTCAGCCGGTTTATGTCGAATCCAGGAAAAGCTCATTGGGAAGCGGTCAAGTGGATTCTGAGATATCTACGAGGCACCACACAGAAGTGTTTGCACTTTGGTAAGGGAGAGGTAGAAGTGCAAGGGTATGTAGATGCAGACTTCGACGGCGAAGTTGATCACAGAAGAAGCACCACCAGCTATGTATTCACCGTTAGAACTACAGCTGTCAGTTGGATGTCACAGGTACAGAAGATCGTTACCCTATCCACTACAGAAGCTGAGTATGTTGCAGTGACTGAAGCCAGTAAAGAGATGATATGGCTTCAAGGTTTGTTGACAGAGCTGGGATTCAAACAGGAGAAGAATGTTTTGCATAGTGACAGCCAGAGTGCGATACATTTGGTGAAGAATTCAGCATTTCATTCTAGAACGAAGCATATTGCGCTTCGGTACCACTTCATCAGATCCTTGTTGGAAGATGACGTGTTGAAACTGGAAAAGATTCCAGAAGGTAAGAATCCAGCAGACATATTAACAAAGACGGTGACCGTTCAGAAACTAGAGTTGTGTGCAACTTCAGTTGGCCTTCATGCATAGATGATGAGGACGGAGCCACACAGGAGAGGAGCTTGATGAGATAGCCTGATTGACGGCGGTTTGATCTCCAAGTGGGAGATTGTTAGAAAGGGGTGTAGATCAAACCTCAATTCCGGCGAGGAGCTCCGGCGAAGCTCCGACGAGCTTGAGAACCACGCAGGCGAGCGTGGGCGTCGACTCAGGCGAAGTCGACGGCGAAAGCTTCAGGTGAAGCTCGAGCAGGCGAGCTCGAATTTTGGCGATTCCCGACCTCGGCGTGTGGGTAACGCGACCTTGGCGTTTTTGGATCCGGCCCTCGCGTTTGGGACACCGACCCTCGCGTTTGGGACACCGACCCTCGCGTTATTCCCTTTAATATTAACACTGTAGCTACAGTGTTTCATTTGAGAAATCTCAGTTTAGGGATTTGCTCTTGAATTGTAATTTCTTGTTAGATTAATAAGAAATTATCTGTATGGCTCCTGAGGACGTAGGCAGTTGCCGAACCTCGTTAAAACTTGGTGTACTTTTTCTATTCTGCGTTTCCGTTGCATTAGGGATTTCGGCGGTAAATTCCCAACAAAATTTTGGTAATTGTACTGCAAATTTGATATCCACTTTGAACCACTATTAGAATGGTAAGTTAGACCTCTTATCTCATCATCCATTTCATGACAAAGTAAAGAGGCCTCACACCTTGTATCACTCACTTGAGCACAAGAATTCTAAGAAAAGTAGCCTGGTTAGCATTTTCCAAAAAATAATAAAGTCTGACCAGGCAGAAGCTAGCAAGGGACAATACAAACGTAATACTTATTACCTAAGAAGACATTTTTCCATTTGATACAAAGTACAAACTATAGCATAACAAAAGAAGCAATATGCATTTTGTCAATAATGAATGCCATTAGTACCTGAAAATGACCGGTGAGGCGTCTATACTGTCCAAAGAGATAACCCATTTCCCTTGGGCCGACACCCATATCTTCTGTAGGAAGATCCTAGGGTGAAAATAATAAATAATAAATAAAAATCATATTTTAGCAGGTCCATATACATATGTACCATACGCATAGTAAAACATTCTCTGCTCATATCATTCGCGATCGACCTTATCAGGCCTAAAAAAACTAACAACATATCCTGGGAAAGAAAAGTAGTTTGGGTTCTCTTTTGCAGGTAGAGTTGCAAGTTTGTAATGGAATATAACCACATGAATTAAATCCTGAAAGAAGACGACACAGATTTGGTTGTCAAATCCAGGTCTGTCAGCAAATAGCCCACAAGTGTGGAAAACGAGGGAAAATATGCATGCAAAGAATCATGATGATGATGATGATGATGCATGGGTTTGTAGAAACCTACCAACGCACAATAAATGGAAACTGAGATATGATCTATACGAAAGACATGTACATGCAGGCATGATCTATCTAATAAGTTGAACAGAGTACAAGTGTGTAAGCATGGATATAGGTAATGTGGCATCCACATCAGGGATATCGAGACACAGAATTATGGGATATAAAAATGTCATATAACAGTATGAGTGGTGAATGTCTAATGGTCCAGTGTCTGTTAAACAGTCATAGCATCTACCTCTGGGATATTAGGATATGGAAACATGGCATATAAATCTAACATAACAGTATGAGAGGTGCACGTGTAATAGTCTACTGTGTGTTAAACAACAAAAGCATGGATGTAAGTGATGTGGTATCTACCTCAGGGATATCAATATGGCAACACGAGAAACTGATCTATCTAGCATAACAGTGTGCGAGGTGCATGCGTAATGGTCCTGTGGTGCTGATGCATTAGATTATCTCTTTGGAAATTGAAGATAAAACAAAATAGTATATAAAATAGAACTGTTGTATCCCTTTGGAGTACAACTCATGGACATTTTCAACATTTGGTGACCCATTAATATGAAATAAACAGTAATGAGCCTTAATGAAACATATGTTGTAACTTCAAGTAACAAACAGCAATGAGAAATGAGACTTAACGAAATGAGCCTTAACGAAAATGAGCCTTAACGAAACAACAATGAGCCTTACGAAACAGCAATGAGCCTTAACGAAACTGATTATGGAATTTGCGTACATATGTTGTAACTTCAAGTAACAAACATCATTGAGCCTTAACAAAACAAAAATTCAAGATAAATCAGAGGTTTGCAAGCAAAAGAGAACTCACCCAAATGCAAGACAGGGTTTCAGCTCCCAAAACCTGAAAAAAGAAAATAAGCAAGTTATGTAACATGAATCCAACATTAACACAATATAAACTCTAGATCAGATCTAGGGTTTCGGAGAGGGGGAGATCGAAACCAGAGAGAGAGAGACAGAGGGGATCGCGAAAATTCCTCTTTGTTATTGGGTCGGGATTTGATAAATGACACAGGTGGGATGGAATTTGAAATCAGGGGTTTTGGGCTCTCAAATTCCTTTTTGTTAAATCAATTAATTTAAAATCTAGGTTTAAATCAGAACCCAAACTAGATATTTGGATTTGAAATACCCTGGATTTTAAATCCAGGTCCAAATCCAAGTTCTCAAACACACCCTAAGTGAATAGTATCATACTTGCAAGGATGACTATTCCTTTAATCTCAAGAGGACAAGATAGACTTTGTGACATTTTTTTGATATATTTTTAGTTGTTAAGTAGATGAAACATATTACAAAGATTCTAGGAGAAAGCTCCTCATATTTGACCTTTGGTGTTGATAATCCGAGAATACATTCACACATATCTCAATCTTTTCCAGCCTCATTCTATTGTCTGAAACAAATTTAAATATAACTCAATTTAATCTAGCAATAAATATAAAATTCAATAATAAATAAGCTAGATAAAAGAGTTAAGAAAAAAACTTCTCTATAATCACAAAGAGTTTTAGAAACGATAATGAGGATAAATTCCTCAATTGAAAATGAAAGCCTTCTCTTTGTGAAAAACTCCTCTTTTGAAACAAAACTTGAAACAAGGCTTAAACACCCCTTAAATACACTTGCTAAACTTGTTTAAACAATTCTCTTGGTTGATCAAATAGTTCAGAGCATAGAGGTATTTATACCACCTCAAAACACAAGTGAAAACACAAAGAAAAAGACCAAAAAGCCCAAAGAAAACAGCTCAAGAAAATAGCCGTTATTGTGCA